CTCATTGGTGTCATAATTTGCTTTGTTTTGTTCAATCTTTCAATGAATGTTCACATTATGAATTTATTCATTTGTGTTTGACAAGAATGAAAAAGAAATCTACCAAAAAAATGAAAAAATGTTTTGTTTTTTTTTCTTTGGTTATGTGAAAACAGAACCTGGGAAAAAAAATGTCATTATTTTCTTTTTGGCATAGGATAATATACAATTGATCTGAATATTTACGTTTGTGATTGTCTCTCTGTGTATGTGTGTGTGTCTATGTACGATTAAATTGTCAATCTTAAATCGATCTAACCAACAAAAAAACAAAACAAAACAAAAGCAAAGATCACATTTCTTCAGAATTTAATGATGTTTAGAAATAAATTCTTACAGAATCTAAAATATAAAAGAAAAGAGATCATCTTTGGATATCAAAAAAAAAAAACCAAAAGAGTTTTGCTGATGTTGATCTTTTTACTTTGCCAAAAAGAAAACAGTGGTTTGTTTCTTTTTTGTGTTATGGATTACATCATTGTCATCATCATCATCATCATCAGAAAACTGGAAAGAAAAAAATTACAAACAAAAAACAAAAAACAACAGAATTTTGGTTTGATTTCTGGATATAAAACAGGGTATTTGGCTTGTGTTTGGTGCCTAATTTAATTAGATTAAAATAAATGATAAACGAATAGTTAGTGAAGGATGGAAAATAATATAAAATAAAACAGACAAAATCAAAGTCAAAAAAGATGAATTAAAAAAAAGAAACAAAACAAAAAAACTTGATTTTTAACCATTTTTTTCCATATAGTTCATCGTTAATATTGTTTACTAAACGATGCCAAGTTCTGTCTGTTTGTTGTTTGGTCTGTTTTGGGGTGAGAATCATTAGATTCTGTCATGTAATGGTCAACTGCCTTTCTTCATTATTACCAAATGGAAATGGTATGAAAAACAACTTGAAATTTCCGATTACACAACAACAAAAGACAAAGCTTTTGTTGTTGTTGTTGTTGTTGATGCTACAATGCTTGAAATCAGTAAATGAAAATGAAAAAGTAAATGAAATTTCCGGTATTTTTCAAAAACGGATATGTAATAAGACAACAAGAAAATAATAACAACAATAAAAAATGTGTTAGAATCATAATAATGTTTGTTTGTTTGTTTGTTTGTTTTTATTGGTCGGTTATATTCAGTTATATAATCAACAACAACAACAACAACAAAATCTAGACCAAAAAACAAACGACAAACGACAAACATTACATAATTTGATTGGATTTGTTGCCTGTGATTTGTAATAAAATGCATGTTTTTTTTTGTGGAGATTTCTTGATGTAGAAATTTGAATTCAGCAGTTACAGAGAGAGAGAGAGAGAGAGAGAAATATGTGATTTCAAAAATGAATTGAATCTGATCACGAATGATTGTCGTTGATCATTGATTCTTGGTATTCTGTAATTCAGTGGGGAAAACAATAACAACAACAAAATTTTTGAACGATTTTTTGTTGAGTAATCATCATTATCATGATGATGATGGTTGAGTTTTATTGAATCTTTACCAATATTGATGGTTTTAATAAATATCAATAATTTATCAGCAAAAAAAAAAGCAAAATAAAAAAAAAACGTGCTTCATTCATATAAATTGGTTGTTTGCATGTTTGTAATTTGTTTGATCGATGCTTGCGATGATCAAATTGAATCATGCGACAAAAAATTGTTTTTTTTCTTTTGGTTTTCAATAATGTTATTGAACTTGTATGTAGGATATTCATTTTCATATATTGAAAATCCAATTCAAAAATGAAAAAAAAAATGAAATTATCATTTTGTTTTTTTTGCTCTCTCTTTAAAATCAATAAAATTTTCATCATCATCATCAATAGTCTATGTTTCTGTATATGGATCAATTTCTTCATCTTCAAACTCTTTTTTCTTTTGCTGACTGCCTTTTATACTAAGCACCCACCAGAAACAGCAACAACAACAACAACAAAATCAATATTATCGGCATAATGATAAAAAAAAACAGTAACTGGAATGAATGAATAAAAGAAAAATCTACACATTTGATATAATCGTTTAGAAATCAAGTTATGGATTTCTTTTTTTGCTTTTTTGGATCGTTTGAATCTCTCTCTCTCTCTCTCTCTCTCTCGCTTTCTGATAAAATCGTGTGTTTAAATAAAAATAAGTGATACAAGTGCACACACACACACACAGATGATTACCAAAAAATAATAATACCCAAACCAAAACTTTTGCCTTTTTTTACAAATACTAATATTCTATTTTCTTTGATAATCAATTTTTTTTTCATATTATTATCCCAGAAATATATACACCAACATTCCAGAATGGAAAAAAAAGATTGGTGAGGATCAGAAAAGAAGAAATGCCAAAAACAGTATCCGACAAAAAGAAAAGAAAGTTCAAAAAACGAACGAACGAACCGGATGAAAAGCAAAAGCAAAAGAAAATGATCAAACATAATAAATGAATAATGTTTTGTGTGTGTGTAATATGAAAATCCGATTTGTTTTTTCTATTTTCTCATTCTCTCATTCAAAATTGATTCATCACATCAAAAAAATATGAATGAATGAATGAATGAATAAGCGAAGCTTGTAAATCGTTCTTTGTTTTCTATATAAATAAAAATCCGGAATAAAAAAAATCGATACTTATTCTATGAACAGTACACAATGATTGATCATTTGCAAAAAAAAAAAAATTTTTATCAACAAAAAAACAAAACCAAAATTCAACAAGTTTTCACGAATAAATGGAAAATCAAATCAATAGAATTTGCTTTCGTTATTCCGAATTCTTTAAAATTCTTTTGAAAAATTTTCAAATTCAAACAGTGTTTTTATATGTTAAAAGTGTTTATTTGCATCATTGATTGATTTCTGATCGATTTTGGTGAATTATTTGATGTATATCATCATCATCATCATCAGAATGAAAATTCAAATCAAAACAATGGAAAAAAATTGGGTTGATTTTTGATTTAGTTAAAAGTTGTTTGTCAATCAAAAAACCAAAAAACCAAGTGAACCTGGCAAAACACATACCATACACACACAGCATGATTGAAGTTTGTTTCAAACAAAACAAAAAAAAAAGTTCACCATATTAAATTTGGTTATTTTTTCCTGGCAATATAAATGTTTATAGTCAGAATATATTGTGTACAGAAAAACCAGAAATTTATTCTACCAGAACCAAAAGAATTCTCTCACTCACTCTCCATCTTTTTCTTCAACTTGCCATATATATATTTACTTGAAGAATCTTCTTCTTTATTATTTTCATTTGAAAAAAAAACAAAAAAACAAAATTGTAACGGGTCAATGGTTTTAATCATTGTGATTGATATCAGTAAAGAACTGAAAAAAATAACCGAGAATTTTTCATTTTTTTGAAATGTTGTCGTTGCTGCTGTTATTTTTTTCGGTTATTTCGGTCACCGGATTGATGGCCGGATTCATTTTTTTTCGTTTGTTTGTTTCAATTTCCTTTTTTTTTCAATTGTAAAATTAAACAACAACGAAAAAAATCTAAAAACAAACAAACAAACAGAGAAGCTAAATAGGAAATAGAAACCAGAATCCAGAAATCTACAATCAATAAGTTTTGTCGATTGATTGTTACTTTAGTTATTGAATTGTTATTGTCAAAAAATTTTTATTCACAAAATAGTCAAAATGAAAATTCTTTCTTCTTTTGTTTTCAAACATTTTCACTTGATTATTTATGGTAAATGATGATGATGATAAAACTATTGTGTGTGTGTGTGTGTTTTGAATTGTGCATTTTTTTTCTCTCTCTCTTTTCTCATCTTATTCTGGTTTCGGTTTTCGGCTTTTCTTTTTTCCATTCAATTCAATTTATCCGAGATTTTTTTCCCGTTTTGTTTCCATTTTATTCATTCGTTTGGTCGTATCTGTGCCCATCTGGTTTTCTTTTCTTTTCTTTTTTTTTCTCTTGCCTGTTTGTTTGTTTGTTTGTTAGTGAAACTGAATCCAAATCAGTTTATTTTACAAGTAAATTTCTTTTACTTTCCATGTGATGTTTGTTTGGATGCAGGGATATATTCATTCGTTTTCCCTTGTATCAAACACATAGAACATGTATCAGATATTCCAGAGAAAATCAAACTGCAAATCACATTGTGAAAAAGGAAGAAAATTGTCGACACACACACAAAACGAGCAAAGATAACAGCAGAATTGAAAAAACACAAAGACAAAATTGAAACTAAAACAAAACACACACACACACAGTATTGTCGTTAATGTTTTTTCTAGTTTTCAATAATGATTTTGTTGTTGAAAAATCAAACCGGCAAACCAAAATCAATAATTAGATTTCGTTATTATCATTTTAATTATTGATGGATTTTTTTTTCGTGTTAATCAACAACTAAAACCAAAATTGTCAACTTATTTTAAAAAAGTTCATTTTCTTTTTTTGGTTGAAATTAACCAGAATTCAAACCGAAGAAAACCAACCCGAAAAACCCAAAAAACCAAAATTCCGGCCTTTTTTCAATAATAATAATTTCATTAAAAAATGATTTCTTTTCAATCATTTCATTTCACAAATGTAAAACTTTTGGTGTTCATCATCATCATCAGAACAGAAAAGAAAAATCCAACGCAAAAGTTACTTACTACGTTACTTTTTTCAGAAGAAGAATAAGAATATTCTTCTTATGTATTCTTTTCATTCGCTATGTTGTAATTCAAAACATGTCCATTATTATTATTTTTTTTTCTGTGTAACAATCACCACCACCAACACACACCATTATTACACATTACATACACATGAATTCACTACAAACACACAAACTATTGAACGAAAAAAATCCTGAAACATTTTCAATTTCTTCAAACAGAAAAAAAAATTCCATTACATTTTATATTCTGAAACATTCAGTTTTTTTTTCTGAATCATATATCGATTACATTGTAAGAGAAAAAAGAAGATGGAAGATTACTTACCAAGAACATTATATGGTGTCCATGTAACAATAAATGCTAATAAAATTGCTGATAATGTTTTAGCTGCTTTACGTTCGGATTTTGGTTGAAATGTTGCACGTACACGTGTAAATGTTGCTGATGATGGTGTTGCTGTTGTTGTTACCGTTGCTGTTGTTGTTGTTGTTGTTGCTTGTGATGTAATTGATTGTTGATGTTGTAATAAATGTGTATCATGTTGTTGTTGTTGTTGTTTTTGATCTATTGTTGATTTTGTTGTTAAAATTGATCCTTGTTGTTGTTGTTGTTGTTGTTGTTGTTGTCGTTTTTGTTTTGTAATTAATATAGGTGTTTGATGATGTAATTGTGATGATGTATGTTGTTGATTTGTTGTTGTTGTTGATGATACAATTGAATTTTGACGACAACAACGTATTGGACAACAATTTTTTATCTGTATACTTGAATCACTATCATCATCAACATCATCAACATTATCATCAGCATCAGCACCAGGTTCATTGTTATCATTACCATCATCAACATCATCCTCATCATAATCTTCATCATCATCTTCATCAAAATCATCATCATCATCATCATCTTCATCATCAACAAAATTATCACCATTATTATTATTATATAAAAGAACATTTGTTTGTAAATTTTTATTTTGATTATTTAAATCAATCATTACATCATCATCCAGATCATCATCATCATCATCATCCAGCTCATCATCTTCATCATCATCGTCATCATCATCATCATTATCACCACTATCATCATAATTTTCATCAATATAAACTTGATCCAACATTGATTGTTGCTGATCTGAATCTTGACGAATCATTGCTGCTGTTGTTGTTGTTGATGGTATTGATGATGATATTGATCGTTTTGATCTATTTGATCGTAACATTTTTATTGATTCATTCATAATTCTTTGATTATCATTATAATCTTTTGGATCTTGTAATTTTATAACAATAGTATATATTGAACTATCTGATTGTTGATTACCATCATTAATTGATTCCATTTCTCTAATATGATAATTAATTTCTGAATGTTTTTGTTTTTGTTTTTGTTTTTGTTTTTGTATTGTTGTTGACATATTATCCAATGATGATTGATTGATAAATTTTTTTGATTTTTTATCTATTGTCATTATTGGATGTTGTTCATTAATATTTGTTTGTTCTGATTCTAAACTTTTTTGTTGTTGAATTTGTTTGATTTTTTGTAATCGACGTTTTCGTTGACGACGTAATCTATATGCACAACCTGGACATTTGATTGTTGTTGTTGTTGTTGTTGTTGATTCATTCATCATAGAATCACCTTGCACCATAATACCTGATTCAGAATTTAATTCTTGAATTGAATATTTTTTCTTTAATTGTTTTCTTTTATTATTATTACTACTACCACTACTACTACAACGTTTATGTTTACTATTATTATGATTAAATGTTAATCGATTCCATATCCATGACCAGAATGATAAATATCTTGATTCAGATGTTTTTGATCCGTCCAAATCCGTTGTAGCATTTATTTCAAATAATTCATTTTCATAATCTTGTTCAATAATATTTGCAGGTGATTTAAGACAAACTAATCCTTCGGTTGTATGTTGTATATCTTCTAATTTAATTTCATCACAATAATCATGTGTTGAAAATATTTTCGGTATTGGTTCAATATATGATTGTTGACCAATCGATGTATGAGACATTGTTCGACCTACAATTGAAATCGATGATGGTTTATCATGTGGTAATCGTCGAACAACAGTACCACTTTTTTGTTGTTGTTGTTGCAAATCTTTATCAATTTCTTGTTGAGAAGTAGTAGTAGTTGCGGATAAAATTGTTTGATTTGTACGAATTTTATTACGTTGTATCAAACTATGTGGGCAGTTTGGTAAATGAATTGGACGTTTAGGCATTTTAATCGATGAATTTTGATTGTTTTGTTGTTGTTGTTGTTGTTGATGATTATGATTACTTTTATTATTTTCATCAATATTAATATGATGGCTATTATTTGTTGATGTAGTTTTCAATTTAATTTTACCACGTGAATCACTATTAGTTGTTGTTGTTGTTGTTGATATTGTTCCTATATTTGTTCCAGCAGTTATACAACCAGTTACCATACTACTGGCAGTGGGTGTTGATAATTTTGTTATGGATGTTGTAGCTGTTTGTGCAATTGTTGCTGTTGGTTGATTAACTGTTGCCGGTGATATAACAACTAATGATGTTAATTCACGATAACGATTTTCAGTTTCACGCCATATACGCCAATAAAGTATACACATAATGGTTACTGGAAGCCAAAATGCCATTATAGCGGTTATAGTTGTTACCCAAATATTTGATTCAAGAAATGGTATATAACATTGATATTCAGGCACTGTACGGCGGCCTTCAATTTTTGGCCAAGCAAATATCCATGGTGGCCATAATAATGCTGATACAATCCATGCGAATGCAATAAAAATACAAGCCCTACGTGTTGTACGTTTAGCTCTATAGGTTAATGGTCTTGTAACAGAAAAATAACGATCAAATGATATTAATAATAAATTTAATACAGATGCATTTGAATTAAGATAATCAATGGCCAACCAAATATCACAGATTGAATAGCCTAATGGCCAACCATCAACAACAATATAAATCAATGATAATGGCATTGATATAAATCCAATTAAAAAATCAGCAACAGCTAATGATAATAAAAAGTAATTTGATATTGTTTGTAATTGACGATCAATTTTAAATGCAACCATTACTAAAACATTTCCCAATATTGTTATTAATGATAATGATCCACCAATCAATATTATAACATGATCAACAACGGTTAATTCATTAAAATTTAATTTCATTCTTGCTGCTGTATTTTTTCTATTATCATTATTATCATTATTATTATTATCATCCATTGATGAAAATGTTATTCCTATGGTCATTGCTGTTGTTGTTGTTGGCGGGAATGTTGTTGTTAAATCACTTGAAAATGTAATTAAATTTGTATCACTTTTGATAAGTTTTTCTGATGATGATGATAATGATGATAATGATGATTCTTCACTTTCAGACAATTGTTTTTGTTGCAATGGTTTCAATAATAATGATTCAAAATAATTATTCGATATTGATGAATAAGGTAATGATGATGATGATGTGGTCATTTTAATTATTGAATCATTATCATTAAGCTCGTTTGATGAAGGATTATATGGATTATTATTATTCAATGTTGATCGTAAAATGTCGTGTGTCGATTCTATTGATGTTGTTGTCATTGTTGTTGTTGTTGTTGTTGATTTCTGTACATTAGATATGATTGATGATTTTGTTGTTGTCATAATTGTTGTTGACAATAATGGTGATGATGATAATAATAATGTTTGTAAATTATTATTATTATTATTGGATTTTAATGAAATTGTTGTTGTTGGTCTTGTTGTTGTTAATGTTGTTGTTAATCCATCAATTTCTTCGATTGGTTGTGTTGTAATTTTTGCAAGACAAAAATGATGATTATTATTATTATTATTATAATCTAAAAAAATATTAATAATAATCAATGAATAAATTATAAACATAAAACGATAAAATCTATTAATAATCATTGTTTTTGAATGATAATTTCGATTTGAATTCATTTTGATTGTTGTTGTTGTTGTTGAATGATGATTGTTTTTTTTCATTATAATTATTTTCGAATGTTGTTGTTGTTGTTTTTGTAATAATTTTGTTGGTTGTAAAATTTTTTTATATAATAAATTATCGTTATTTAATAATGTAATATCGATAGAAAATTTTGATTTTACAAAATCATCATCATCATTATTATTGTTGGCTATATAAATTTTATTAACATTTTGATTATATTGATAAAATTGATTTTTTGTACAAATTTCCATTTGTAATATGGATTCTTTTTTCTTTTTTTCTTCTTTCTTTTGTTGTTGTTGTTGTAATTGTAATTGTAATTGTTGTTGTTGTCGTTTTTCAATATTGTTGTTGTCGTCATCATTATTATTTTTACTATCATTATCATCATCAATTTGATGATTTCGATCAATTTTTTGATGGCTATCATTATCATCATTATTATTTTCGTTGCCATTATGTTCATCATCAAACAGAATATTTGAATCATCATTATTATTATTATTATTAAAATTGATGCCATGATTATCAATAATAACTACATTACAATTATTATTATTATTATTATTATTATTATCAACATTAACAACATCAACAACAACTAATAGATTTCCATTGTCATTCATCATAAATGACAATGATATTGATGATAATAATAATAATGATAATAATGATATCGATGTTGATGATAATAATGAATTTGACATCGAAATTTGACCACCACCATTTAAAAAACAGAATTCAATGAACAACCGGAAAAAAAATCAACAACAACCAAAAACCAACAACTTTTTTATATCACTAAAATTATTTTAAAATGTAATTTATAAACATAATGAATGAATGAATGAAGGCAACAGGCATTAAAATTCTGTAAATAATAATTATAATAATTATAAAATAATAATTATAATTATAATGGAGAAAAAAAGGGCGATTAGTAAATGAATAAAATTGTCGATTATAATTATTGATTGATTTTATAAAATTAATTAATTAATTAATTAACAAATTGAAACAGAATTTGTTGTTGTTGTTGTTGAATTTACACACAAACACTAAACACTGAACACCGAACACACACATTTTTGTAAAACACCAAACACAAACACACAATTGAAACGGTTGGTTTCATTCATTTCATTTGCTTAATGGATTTGTTGTCATTTTACAAAGTAAATTTCCTCTATAAAACAATAATAATAAGGTTATTGTTTAACACCTTCAGATGATGATGATTTAATTTGAATCCGGATTCTTGATTCTTGATTTTGAGTTTTTGTTGATGTTTCTGGTTTGTTGTTGAAAAAAAATTACAAAAAAAAAAATCAAAAATTTATGGTTAAATAATTTTAATTGAAAAGTTTTTTTTCTCTCTCTCTTTGCTCTGTCATTTGTTTGTCACTAAATCAGAATTCTGAATAATAAATCAAGCAAGCAAATATGGATTTTTTTTGGACAAAAAAACAAAAAATCCTCTAAACGATCATATTTCAGAATGGGGTAGAAATTTATCGACTATAATTTAGATGTTGTTGTTTTTTTGGGATAATTATCGAAAATAATTAAAACAAAAAAAATGTTCCCGAAAAAACTTTTTTCTGGTTCATCTGGAATCATATCGAATTTCTTGGCTACAAATATAACCACATATATTCTATAGTTTATCTTTCATGTTCATGTCAATTCTATTTCATTTCAATTGGAAAGAATTGAATAAAGAATTTGAATTGAATGAATAAATAATAAACAACAAACTAAAAGATCAAACACAAGAGAGAGAGAGAGAGAGAGAGAATTTGTCATCTAGTTTATCATCAACATTATTATTATTAACATTGTGACATTAAAGAATCATCAATGAACTTGGGAATAAAGTTTTTTTTTTCATTTCTCCTCATTCATCTTTCAAGAGAAATATGAAATATAAAATTATCAATGTCGACAATTTTTAGCTCAGTTTTTTCGTTTGTTTCTTTTTCGTTGATAAATTTGATGGCTATAATTCATTCGTACAAAATTCAATTCAATACATTTGATCCAGTTGAATTGACACTGTCTATATCTTTATGCTCTTGTTGTTGTTGTTTGTTGTTGTTGTTGATCTTTATTATCATCATTTTTCTTTTCTTTTCTTTTTTTGAATTCAATTTCCGATGATCGTCATTATATGATTATCATTTTTTTTTTTGATGATGTTGATTATGGATGTTAATAAAACATAAAATATATATTGATTTGGTCGATTGATTTAATTTTTGTTGTTGTTGTTGTTGTTTGCAAGAAAAAAATACTTTTCATGGTTTGTTTTGTTCAACTTTTTTTTTACATATTATTTCATCGTATATCGTTTTTTCCATAAAACTATACATTCACAAACAAACACCTGTTGTAAACAAAAATTTGAAATAAATATTCTTTGGTGGGGGGATGGAAAAAATTATCAAATTTGTTCAATCAATCAACGAAATGATGATTATATTGTTACGATTCTTGAAGAATATTTATTTCCTCTTCTTTTCTTTTATAATTTTCATTCACAATGAAAAAACCACACAAACAATTCAACAAAACAAAAAAAAATATAGACAGAATTTTGATACAACAGAACAATCATCAGAACATCACGCACATTTTATCAACCAGAAGAAGTAATGAAATGAAAAAAATTGTTCACGTTTCATCATTTATATGTGGCCAAAAATACACTGAAACGCACACACACATGTGATGGAATTTCATCGTTGAAAATACCCAAAATACCCAAAAAAACAAAAAAAAAAACAAACAATACACATGGGATAGATAAACGGTAAACATCTATCTAGAATATATTTTCTTCTGTTGTTATTTTTAGTTGGTTTGGTTTGGTTTGGTTTGGTTTGAATGTAAGTGTTTTAATATTGGGATGTGTGCGTGTGTGTGTGTGCTTGATTACTAGTTAGTTGAAGAATATAAACAACATCATTTTTTTTGGATCTTGAAAATTCATTCAAAGAATTCATTCACATACAAACAGAATTGAAAGAAAGAAAGAGAGAGACTAATACCATCAACAAAATATATTGATATATACTACACGCAAACGTTTCCAAAAACATTCTGAAACCGATTTTCTTTTCATGAGGAATAAAGGAATTTTTTTTCTTTACCATCCATCCAACCAACCAAAGATCCAACAGAAATCCCAAAAGAATCCTGAGTTTTATCCTCTTCCTTTTTTTTGTTTTGAAAGAAGAAGGAAAATTGAGAAAGAATACAAAATGCTAACGGTCTAAGCCAAATGAAAAGAGGAAATTGATTCACCAAACAGCATTGATCATGCGCAATATCAAATTGAATGTTTTTTTTTCTTCAACTATATGCGATAATCTAGTGTAACTTTATTTTTATTTTTGTTTTTGATTTGTAGAAAATTCAAAAAATAAAATGAAAATTTCGTCTGTAAATTATCTGATGATCCATGTGCGCAAGCGTAGGATTTTTGAATGATTTCTGATTGAAATAAAAGATAAACCAAGGAGCCAAAATCATCGAAATCGGGGGAAAAAGCAAATAAAAAAATTTCCAAAATTCAGTTGTATAGTTGATTCTAAACTGATATGGTCGATTGGCTGTTTTTCTGTTTGTTTCGTTTTGTTTTGTTTTGGAATTTAAAATTTTCGATCTTTGGCGGGGAAAAAGTTAGTTAGTTTTAAGGCTTGACAAATTCCCATACACAATATTATCATCATCCGAAAACGATGAAAATTGATATAACAATTTCGAATGAAATTGAAATGAAACAAATTGAAAATTAGAGTGAAAAAAATCATCGAACCATCAATCTTATGTAAGGAGAGAATATTATTCTGAATTCAAACGAATACAAATTTGTAATTGAAAATGGAAACAAAAACAAAACAAAAAAAAAGAAAATATGGATATTTGTTGTTCCCAATACAAAGAAAATATAGAAAAGTATTGATATTGGATGTTCAATTTTGTTTTGCTTAAGGAATCACCCAAAAACACAGAAGAAAGAAGAAAAATATTGAAAGTTTTTTTTTCTCTGAAAATCTATGAACCAGCTGTGATGATGATCATTGTTAATATAATATATGGATATTGAAAATTGAATGGAAAAGAATATTCTTTTCCATTCAATTTTCGTTTCATTTCGTTTTTTTTGAATTTATTGAAAAAAAGTGTATTTGAAAAACGCCATACAAAATTATTATTATCATCTTCATAAGGATGACTTTAATTTTTATCAATCATTTTTCAATCACTTTTCTTTTTTGGGGGGGTTTATTTCACTTATAAAAGACGCTAGTTATAAAATGATGATGAAAATAAATTACAAAATATACGAATGATAGATTTTGTTGAAAAAGGAGAAAAAAAAATCTATAAAATTTTAGCCTTAGCTGAGTTTGGATAGGAAAGAAAATTGAAATGAGAAAAATTGCTGCAAAAAATCTATTTGATTTTGGTTCAATAAATGGATGATTTTTTTTCGGAAGGATTTTCCCTTTTTCGTCGTCGTTGTCGTTTCTTCTTGAGCAGAAAAGAAACAACCATCAACAACCAACCATCATTAAAATGGTGGTATTAACCGATCATCTTAATGGGCCCAATTCTGGTCTAAACCAATGGGAGAAAAAAAGAAAATGAAAATGAAATGTCATCAACATGGCCGAAAAGTTGAACAAGGAAAAGAAAAAAAATATTGAACAGTATCATTATTTTTGAATAGAACAGAGCAAAATTGATTTTTGAATATGAAAAAAAAAACATTATTATAATCATCATCATCAAACACATTTGAATGATCATATGCATCATTATAGGATTGGGAATGTTTTGGAAAATTTTTAAAGTTTCATAAAATTCATAGAAAAGGAAAATCTTGCTTTGGACGATGAAATTCATCAGAAAAAGTAGTAGCAGTAAAAAAATCATCATCGACATTATCTACAAAAAAAAATATATTTATGAATTTTAAATGGAATCCCAATGAAGAAAAAAAAATCCTTTGGGGTATCCAAAGAAAGAAAAGAAAAAAAAGAATCCCAAAGGATTCATGTTTGTTTGTATGTCATTTTCAAATTTTTTTGTTTGTTACCATTTTGAAACCTTTAAAATGATGATGATGATGATGGAGGGGGGAAAAGACAATAGTAATTACATTTGGCTAACTGAATGAATGGATGGAAAAAAATATGCATAAAATTTTTTTTAAAAGTTTAAAGAAGTTTGATTCAGTAATTTCACTTTTTCTCTCACTCACTTTTAGTTTGTCTTTGGAGTATTCTAATGAGTTACATAGAGCCAGAGAGAGAGAGAGAGAGAGAGAGAGAGAGAGAGAGAGAGACCATCATCATCATCATTTGAAATCCAAAGTGAATGAATGAACAACAAGGAAGACAAACGAACAAACAAATGCTATTCATAATTTGATCTTNTATTCTAATGAGTTACATAGAGCGAGAGAGAGAGAGAGAGAGAGAGAGAGAGAGAGAGAGAGAGAGACCATCATCATCATCATTTGAAATCCAAAGTGAATGAATGAACAACAAGGAAGACAAACGAACAAACAAATGCTATTCATAATTTGATCTTTTTCTTTTTTCTACTTCATTAAAATGAATGGAAAATGAAAATGAAATGAAAATTGTTAATGTTGATTGTAATATTCAATGTTTGGGATCATCATCATCAGTGTTTTGACGAGAAAATTGTATTTTTTTATTATTCCATAAATTCCTCTAATTCTCATTCATCTTTTTAGTTTTTTTTTCAAAATTCATTTCGCTTACACACACAGAGAGAGAGAGAAACATTCTATCATTTTTCATTTTACAGGTGAAAAAAAAATTGTTTTGAATTTTAATTTGAAAAAAGATTTCGTTTTCTTCTTCATTCAATTTCTACCATGGTGGCCCAAAAAAAAATCCGTTCTTTTAAAATGAAAAAATAGCCCAAGTGTTTTTTATTCCGGAAAACAAAAAAATCATTTATTTACCATGTTTACGGTTATTATTATCAACATTGATTCCGCATATATTGGGGAGAGAGAGAGAGAGAAGGAAATTATCTCACAAACACACACCACTATCTTAACCCAGAAAATTTCCATATTTTTTTTTCTATTACTTGGCCACAATTTGAAGATTGTAAAAAAAGAAGAATTATGATGAAATTTTTTTCCTTTATCTTGGTTTGGTTTCTATGCTTTGATTAAGCGGATTGTTTGCCGTGTGTGTGTGTTGGTCGGTGTGGAGAGTGAAACAAAGCAAAAAAATTTGAAAAATTATTCCATAAATTATTGGAACCAAGTGAAAAAAAAAATAGATTAACTGGAAACACACACACATAATGATGATGATGATGATGATGAATTTCAATATTTTTTTCTACCATTTTTTCACTCTGTTTTTTTATGTCAAACATATATCATTTATTATTTTACCACACAAAAACAAAAATAACCAACTAATATTTTTATTTATTGAATTCTTCTTGGAAAATTCTTTTTTCCTGTTTTTTTTGGTTGGTAAAAAAATTTTAAAACATTTCACCTTTTTTTTCCATTCCAATTCAGAATGAACATTTATTCTGGAGAGAGAGAGAGAGAGAGAGAGAGAGAGAGATAACATTATAATGATAATGTTTATAATGATGATGATAATGAGAAACTTGTTTTTTTTGTTGTTGAAAAAAAATGGACAAAGACAAACAAAAAAAAAATGCAATTCTGTAGTAATCATCATCATCATCAACAGAATGATTTTTCTCTCATTTTTTCACATTCACTCTTTATAGATCATCAACCATAAATGTGTATAATTCATTTTCATTTTCATTAATTTTGTTTTTTTGTTTTGTTTAATAGTGTTAGACTTTTATTATTCATTGCCCATCACTATCATCATCATCATCATCATCATTATCATTAGCATCATCAACAAAGATAGATGAAAAAAAATGAAAATCTCATAACTGTCCTATGAATGAATGAATGAAGATGATCCAAAAAATTCTTCTTTTCTTCTGTTTTATAATTCTATAATTATCATTATTATTATAATAATTATTATACGAGTATCATCATCATCATCATCATTATAACCATCCTTTTTTTCATTGTCATTTTTTGTTCAATAATAAAAAATAAAAATAAAAATATATGCTTGGTTATAATGTTGTTCATTACTTTACTTTCTCATTCACTAAGGTTACAAAATAGAAGATAAAAAAAATTATTATTATTATTATTATTCATTGAATATATGAATGGTTCTATTCTATCCAAACAACGATATATATGAATTACTTGAAAAGAGAGAAACCAAAAAACCAATATCTTTAATTACCAATATATCTGTGTTTGATGGGTAATTTTGATACTGGTTTTTTTTATAATGTTTTTTTCCAAATTTTCCATTATCCACATTTTATTGCTATGGAGGTGGAAATAGTAGAAATTTTAAAATGTTTCATTGCAAAATTGAAAGTTCATTGTCCACATTTGAAAAAATTATTATTACTAAAATACAGTATTTAATCGTTTGACAATGTTTGATACACAGCAGTATAATGATTTTACTCTAAGTACAAATTTTTTTTTGTATTTTTGTATTTACCACAATCAAAAAAAATTACGTTTATATTACGTTTATTATTATTTTGATGGTGGTTGGTTAGTTAATCATTGTTTTGTTTGTTATATATATCAATTGATTGCAATTTGGTTATCTTCGTTCGTTATCTTCTTGGCATAAAACGATTCGACATTTGATCTGTTTGTTTGTTTTCTTTCTTACTTTATGATTGATTGATTGATTGATTGATTGATTTGTCATCAAATTGGATCATTTGGACAATTTGTCACTCACCCCATACTTACATATAGGCAAACACACACACAAAGTTGATTCAGATTTTCAAAATTATCGATTTTTTTCTCCATTTCTCTCTGCACCCCATTTCTATTCGGCATTCAAACAAACAAACAAACAAACAGAAAAAAAATGTCAACTACCTGATATTTGTAGACAAAAAAACAACAACAACAAATGTATCACTTATTGCTATAAGAAATGGAAATATATTTTTATCATCAAATTATGATTATCATTCAGTCAAAGAAAAAGAAACAAAAAAAAAATGAAATCTTCAAAAAAAAAGAAAGAAAGAAAGAAAATCAATAATAAGATTATATGACGACGACGACGACTATGACGACGATGATCACTTTATAATTGAATTAAGAAAATAATATATTGACAATCCAGTGTATTTTTTGTTTTCAAGTATCCGACTTAATAATCATTCATTCATTGATTAAACTATTTATCGATCGATCGATTGATTGATCAATTGATTGATTGATTGATTGATTAATCAAATTGTATTGATTTTTATTTTTCTCCAATATTATTATTTGTTTTTTTTTTTTGTAAAACGGTAAACTTTGTTTTTTCTGGGATAATCATTAGACATTTAGATAAAGAGAGAAACACTTGAAATTGGTTATAATTTTTTCTTTCTGGTTTTCTGGTTTTCTGGTTTTTATAATTATTATTATTTGAATTCATTCATTCTTTGTTTTGCCTTCGATTTAGGTTTAGTGTGTCAGTTGAACTGATTTTCGTTTTTTGCTTTTGCTGAGTTTTAATTTTCTTTTTTGTTTCTTTCAATAAACACAAACAAACAAACACATGTGACACACACACGTGTTATTTTGATCATTGTAGAATGAAAAAATAATCCTTTTCAACATCAAACTGGTTTACAAAACACAAAAATGTCATCATTAAAGTTAATTGATTTGGATAAACTTTGTGGTACAAAACATTGGAATCAAACATTATCTTGGTTAATTGATCATAATCCTGATTTAACATATTGTTTTGAAGAAACTTGTTTACTTTGGACAATATGTTTATGTTTATTTTTATTAACTTGTTTTCAAGTGTTAAATTTATGGAAAAAATCTTCGATTATAACAAAAAATTCATCATCATCATTACATCATCCTAATCATCATCATCATCCAATACCGTGGAACATAATCAATGTAACAAATTTGGTATGAAAATGTTATAATTAAATAAATTTTATAATAATAATAATAAAATATAATTCTTTTTCGAAATAATAATTGTAATTATAATATTTTATTTTGTAATTATAATATTTTATTTTGGTAGATAATTTGTACATCATTAATAATTATAAATTTTATTGAAATTTTAAATATAATTATATGGAATAATAATCTAATACCGATAAAACCAATCGAATGGTTAAGTCCTTTAATAAAGATTATAACATTGGTAAGTAGAATTTTGTTTGTGTAGTAATTATAAAATATTACTTTTACTTTTACTTCTGCTTTTACTTTTGCTTTTGATTTATTTGCATTTTTTGTTCCACATCATCATCATCATTATTATTCGCACATAATAAATGATGATGCTAAACGAAAATCTTTTTAATTAGATTCATTATTAAGAAAAAATTTACATATTCATATAATGATTATATATCGAATGAATGAATGAATGATATATATTATGTGTTTGATAAAATTGGTATTTTGGGTATTTCTGTCTTGTTCTGTTTCAATTTGATTTTAGTTGACCTGAATTGTTTTTGGTTTTGCTTTCTTTTTCCCCATAAAAAAATGAAATGAAATGAATTTTCTTATTTTCATTTCTTTACTTTGATTCGATTGATTTTCTTTTTTGTGAATCAAAATCGTTTTCATATAATGATGCTTTGAAGAGAAAAAAAAACACTTCTGAATCGAAATGAATGTAATTTCCAGAAAAAAAAACGTTTATCCAATAATCATTACATAATTTGAAACGGGAAAGAAAAATGTTTTATGTTTTTTTTTCTTGATTGAATTTGAATATGGTTTATATGATGATTACATTTGAATATCATTTTTTTTCTTTTGAATAAATAATAATAATAATAATTGTTTGAAAATTGAATTTTTGTTGTTGTTGTTGTTGATGAAAGTGTATCATTTTCAACAACAACAAAAATCCTAAATAATAGAATTTAAAATTTTATGCAAATTACATCATTGAGAGAGAGAGAGAGAGAGAGAGAGAGAGAGAGAGAGAGAAAA